GGGAAGTATATAATTTGATTTTATCATACCTTAAATACAGGGTATCAAGAGATATTTTAAGTATGTTCATTTGGAGCTTGTAATAAAATTAGTATTTTTTAAGCACGTGATCTCCTTTACGCATATATCTAGTGTGGATACTTAAATTATGCCGTTTTGTTATATCGTTATACACAACAGCCAAGACATTTGTTGTTGTCAATAACTGAAAGGGTAAGAGTAAATTGCATTCTTCAGTGAAAGTCACTGAACATGAAACTGCTTGAACTACTTTATGTGTTCTCCTTTACTTCAGTTTTACTTTAGAGGGGAATATATAGAGTGCATAATGCTTTGCCCGCCATGTTTAGTTTCCACCACATGCAGATGATTAGGGTAGGGTGGATTTCAAATGTATTAGTCACAAATCAACTCATTTTCCTGCAAAAATAGTCCTTGAAAGTGGGATTACGTAACAGGTGTGTATCTCTTTAACTGTATAACTAACATTCAAATGGTGTGAGTGATGGTAGTTTTAGGTTTAAATGACTGATAAATTACAAAGGTAAACCTGTGAGGAATAATTAGGGGTCTATTTATAAAAACAGATAATTGGGGACATGGTGAGATGCGTGTAAAGAAGTTCACAGAATGGGTAAAGGAGATCACCATTTTAATTCAACTCCTAAGATATGCTTTACACTTCTTAGTATAATGCCACATTATAATAAAAGCTTATGTTTATGATCTGTGAAAGTAATCTAATACAAAATAACTATAGCTGGATTGACTGTAGAAATTAAAAGGATATCACATTAATTTATACACCTGTCTTTGCTAATATTCGAGGTGGTATGCATTTCGGTGATGAGTATCATATTTGTATTTTTAGAGTGAACGGTAAACAACGTTAACAGCTGAATTAGTATCACAGAAAAAATGCAGCAGAGGGGAAAACCTTCTTACAATTTGTTTGCTTTTTGCCTTTTTATTCTAGGTAAAGGAGAACACGTGTGAAAAAACAGTAGTCATCTTCATTAACGTGGAAAAAATATGACAGGATGTAGCCAGAGTGTTAGATTTTTGGCACAAGGCTTGTCAGTAGTTATAGTTTCAGGAACTGTACAAAACATACTTACAAGAGAAGATTATTTTCTCAACATTTTCCAACTGAAAAATGGACACATAAAAAAGCCTAGCCCAAGTTGGCAAACTTTATAAGTGTAATAAAGTGATTTATTTTGGGAGGAACATACTACGTTTTTCAACAGAACATTGGTATGTCTTCTTCAGGAAAATGTGATCTGTTATGGTAAGGAGTGATTTATTTTTTGGAGGGAACATACTGCATTTTTTGACAGAACATTGGTATGTCTTCTTCAGGAAAAGGTGATCTGTTATGGTAAGGAGTGATTTATTTGGGGGGGACATACTACGTTTTGCGACAGAACATTAGTATGCCTTGGTAAGGAGTGATTTATTTGGTGGGAACATATTACGTTTTTCGACAGAACATTGGTATGTCTTCTTCAGGTAAAGGTGATCTGTTATGGTAAGGAGTGATTTATTTTGGGAGAACATATTACGTTTTTCGACAGAACATTGGTATGTCTTCTTCAGGTAAAGGTGATCTGTTATGGTAAGGAGTGATTTATTTTGGGAGAACATATTACGTTTTTCGACAGAACATTGGTATGTCTTCTTCGGGTAAAGGTGATCTGTTATGGTAAGGAGTGGTTTATTTGGGGGGAACATATTACGTTTTTCAACAGAACATTGGTAGGTCTTCTTCAGGTAAAGGTGATCTGTTATGGTAAGGAATGAGCTAATTCTTTAAATACTAAAAACAGTGATATATATACCTGTATGATCCATTCAACTATTCTTGAAAATAAACACATTTTGTACTATTTACTCTACTTCATAAAAAGAACTTAATGCTCTTATAAAATTCACGTTTTCTTCGAGTTATCAACAAAACTTGCCTATTTTTTAATCTATTTCTCTGGTTCACGAGTAGAACGTACTGTTGTTGTAATGTATGTATTTTCTTTACGTCACCAACAGAATGCATTCACTTAAAAATTGAGTTATTTGCTGTTATAAATTTAGCATTTGTTTACTTCACTAAAACAACATACTGCTGTTGTAAATTTCGTATTTTGTTTACATCCCGAACACAACGTCTTTGCTGTTATAAGGTTCACGTTAAGTTTGCGTGAAGAACAGAAACTATTATTCTTTAAAATTGTTTTCTTTATTTTGCGAACACTGAAACATACTCTATAATCAACCCAAAAATGCTTGAGCGAAAGAAGCCAAAATTCTGCTTTAGCTCAAGCAATAAGTGGTATGTCATAAACACAGCAAAATAAAGCAAATTGTATCACATTGTATCATTTTATTCATGTGATGTAAAATTGAATTTACATTCAGCTTAGCTCCTAATTTAGCATATT